GGGGGGGGGGGGGGGGGGTGGCGAGCGAGAGGGAGTTACAGAATCCTAAGTAGGCTCTAGGCTCTGAGCTGTCAGCACAGAGCCTGACACAGGGCTCGAACCCATGAATGGTGAGATCATGACCTGAGCCGAAGTCGGAGGCTTAACCGACTAAGCCACCCGAGCGCCCCAGAAATGTTGCTTTTCAGCACTTTCGATGTGGCAGTTTGCACAGCCAGGTAGTCTCACTTTCTCCCAAACTGAGTCCCTGTCATGTACGGTCTTTATTGGAGTATTTTCTCTCTCCCCAGGAAGCACTTATTCCTGGGGCGCGGGAGCATCAGTCAAACGAGGCCACACCCCAAACCACGTATCACATTCACACTGTAGCATGATGCTTCTTCCATTTGTTTCTGGGAAGCAGATGGTAGAACTGAGTGCCCGATATTTGGCTATAAATGTTGTCAGACTCTAGAACTTGGCCTGAAGAACCGAGTGGCCCGTCACATCCTTGGTATGCAAATACAGGCATGCCTTTTGTTTTCTTTTTCAGGCAAAGGTAGGTAGGTAGGTAGTTTTCCTGATACTGTCTTTACTCAGTTAACTCTGGTATTCTAAAAAAAATTTTTTTAAATTCTTATTTAGTTTTGAGAGAGAGAAAGAGAGAGACAGAGTGCGAGCAGGGAATGGTTAGAGTGAGAGGAAGACACAGAATCTGAAGCAGGCTCCAGGCTCTGAGCTGTCAGCACAGAGCCTGATGTGGGGCTTGAACTCACAGACCACTAGATCATACCTGAGCCAAAGTCGGACATTTAACTGATTGAGCCACCCAGGCACCCCAGCTCTATGGTATTCTAAGCGTTAGTTGTGATTATAAAACTAATGCAGTGTCATAAATATTTAAATAACACAGAGAGGTACAAAGTAAAAATACTAAACCAGGGCTTTTCTATGTAAGTGTGATATAAACTACACCTAATTTGCAAAAACAGGGTCACTCCATCATTTTGCCGAGGAACTCATTTATTTCCCGCAGGAGTCCTCTCAGGTGACAGACTGACGACAGGTGTACGCTGAATGGTGGACGGCACCACGCGGCGGCCAGCAATGACCCGACCTGGCAGACCCCAAGGCTGGTGGGTGGGTGGCCACAGCACAGGGGCTGGTCCTGGGGTGCGGCACCAGGTCCTCCGTGAAAGACTGTCCACCATGGCAGCCATGGAGGCAGCCAGGGGTCTGGAGCCTGGAGGCCCAGGCCAGGCCACGCGGGGAGGTCACAGTGCTCGGTGCCCCGTTTCCAGCAGCATGCCTTCCAGAAGCAGCCTGCTGTCGGCCTCCACATAGGGCTGGTGCAGCCACATTGACAAGTAGCTCAGGGTGAGGTCATGGTCCACGGTGTGTGCAAGCTCTTCGGTGATGGTGCGTTTCAGGAGAAGCTCCTTCCGGTACATGTCGGACAGCTTGTGGGAAACCTCGTCTGAAACAAACGTGTGTCTCCTTTAGTAGCAGAAAAGCACGCGAGTGCTCCTGCCCGGGGGTGAGGCACTGCTCTGGAAAGCTCCTCCTGGAACAGCAGACTCAGCAGGAGCCCCGAGACCAAGGAGGACCATGCGGGTATTTACCGCTCCGGATCATGCGGGTGAGCAGGATCGGAGAGCATGAGGAGGCTCAGGAAATTAACAAGCAAGTACAACCTTTTCTGCTCAACTCTTCACTACCTGCGATGACTGTGAACAGGAGATTCACCTCAGACTGATAATATTCCAGTAACACACTACACGTAAATGGTTTTACCCTTTTCTTCCTCATTTAAATCAGCATCACATGGCTAGGCCCTTCTTTTGAACTAACAAAGCTAAAGGTAAGTCTGATCTCACAGAATTTATTTAAGTAACGGATACCATGTTCCCAGTAGTCTTCTTCCATAGGGTTGCTGAAATAAAACATCTCTTATTTTATTTTCATTTCTTTCAGTTTATTTATTCATTTTTGAGAGAGACTGGATGTACACGCATAGGAAGGCCAGAGAGGGAGAGAGAGAATCCCAACCAGGCTCCATGCTGCCAGCACAAAGTCTGACATGGGACTCAATGTCTCAAAGCATGAGATCATGACCTGAGCCGAAATCAACAGCCAGACATTCAACCAACTGAGCCACCCAGGTGCTCCTCAATTTATCTTTCAATTAAAACAAAACCCAAAAAATTCTTTCTTCCAAAAGAAAAAAATTCTGCCTCTGCAGAGGATGTAGAATTCATTCTACCCACTTTTTTTTTTTTTTGGTTAGGGTTATTTATTTTTTTTAAGTAATCTCTATGCCCACCATGGGGCTTGAACTCAATGACCTGAAGATCAAGTGTCTCATACTCTACTGACTGAGCCAGCTGAGTGCCTCAACCAGTTGTTTTAAAGGGCTAATAAGGGCAACTGGCTTTATGTATCTCTATGTTTAATATTCTTTGCTGATTATTAGAGCCGAGAAGAAGCCCATTTTCAGATGCCCCTAATCTCCTTCCCTTCCAATGGATCCCCTCGAATTGAATTTCAAAGCCTGTCCAGCTTCGTCACGTGCCAGATCTAAATAACACAAATACTCTCATAATTTCTGCTTCTCAGAATCAACACAGAAAGAACTACTTACAAAAATGGGCTGTGGGCCAAGTGTGAAACAGGGGGGGCCGTTGTCTCTCGTCCCCATAATGGTAGTTTTCTAGTTCACAAATTCCCTTGGTAGTTGAAGACAGCTTTTCCATTTTCATCTGTATTTTGGCCTGAAAAGATATTAATTGGGAATATGAAAACGTTATTTGAAATTTACTCTAGTCTCAGATTCAATAACTAAGATTTCCAAGCTAAGAAGTAGAAGTCTGTTGAGACCCAAAGTGCAATAACTCAACACTGGTAACTCCACATGCAGCAAATTTCCAGGGAGATGGAGGCAGACAGTTGCTACGATTTCATTAATTTGGATGACTTCTGAAATAAACCCTGGATTTCCAGTGCCAGAAAGAGAAAGGTTGCTCAGTCTCACTTTGCTAAAATTTCTGAAGGCATGTTTTTTTGTTTTTTGTTTTTTTTTTAAGCACCAAAGGGCTGGAGGAATCACAAGTCAGGCTCTGCTTTTATGGAAGGACAGGAGAAAAGGCATTAACTGAGTTTATTTCTGACTTTTATTACTGTCTTTGAGTTTACTGAAACCTTGAGGTTCGGTTTCCTTGTTTGTGAAATGGTGATCACAACCCTGCACACTCCACACAGGAAGGAAATGGGGAAAACTTGACACTGATGGTGCCTCGGGGTGGGGGTGGGGGCTCTGCGGGAAGCCCCCTCACCGCATCATGTGCAAGGCGGTGGCCGTGGGTACTGGCCTGTCACCACTGCTCAGGTGTGCCAGCACAGAGCGCTCTGACAAGGTGCCTGCTCTCTCGTGCGGTTAGGGGGGCTAAGTGTGTGTGAAGCACCTAGTTGGAGCTACATAAGCGCTTGTCAGGTAAGGGAGCGAAATAACAAAGATTTCAGATTTAAGACCACATTTCTAACTCCCACCTACACTTATCTTTGTGTACACACAGGTAAATATGAACAGATACATAAATCATCAAATTTGTAACTCCTTGCACTTGGCCCTTCAGCTGCCCTCCAGTCGTACCCAAAGCGGTGTGGACCGAGCTTCGCTACCATTAGTTTTTAAAGGACGACATTCCTTTCCCCAGTCTTTTTAGGTTCGGTATTTCACTTGGCCCGACCCCAAGAGATAGGACTCAGCATTTCTGCGTTACGGCTGGGACAATTCTCAGGGTTGCTGAAGGAGGGAAGGTCAAGGCCAGCACCCCACACCATGCTTCCCCCGCCACGCCTCTTGACGTGCCATCCCGTGTTCTGTGTGTCCTACAGAGGCCCCCTATTCTCACCCAATTCAAAGAAAAGCTTATAAATGGTCAGGAGAGCGAGCGAGGGCAGCCCCGGAGCCTGACGCTAGGTCAGCGGAGCCACGGTCTGCTTGGTCATCGGTGGAGACGAGGGGGATGTGCGGTGGGCACCCCTGAACCCTCAGGCACGACCAGCCGCTCACACACCTGGCTCAACCTCAGCCCGCCTCCTCCTACAGACCAAACTGCAAAATGTCCATCCAGCTTAGGGAAAAGGGTGCCGCAAAGTCCCCTGCCGACGTCAAATTCATTAAAGACACTTGAAACCAAGTCTGGGAAACCATTCTCTCTAAAAGTTGGAGAACAGGAAAAATAACATTACCATCCTTACGACATTGACTTTTTGCTTTCAGACACAGAGTGAGAACTTATTTCCAAACCACTTCAAGCAAGAATAAATTCACTGGAGCAGAGAATTTCAGTGTCTGGCACCAGCACCCAGATCTTGGTTCCTCCAGGAAGAGGAACCAGGGCTCCTTGGAGAAACGGCAGATCCTAGGACTGAGGCAGGAAATACACAAGATGGGCCCAGAACATCTTGTGATGCTGGAGAGCAAGGAATTGTTCAAAGAAACCCAAACCAAAAGCTCACATTGATGGAAGCGTGTCAGAGGGACACGGGTGCCGACTGAACCCCTGGTGGCCAAAGCAGGAACGATTTGAGTCACAAAAGAAGGCGGTGCTGCTGTGTTACAGCCCCACGTGGAAAGCAAAGTCATGAGTCCACACCGCTAGAAATAAGTGAGCCAGTAATTAACAGGTAGGGGAAGAGAGACAACTCTCCAAAGCCCACATTATCCACGCACGCGCTCCGCCCTCGAGGAGGTGAGGCAGCACTTTCCACTCCTCAAGCGTGGGCTGCACAGTGACTTCCTTCCGGAGAGGACAGTGCGGACGGGGTGGGGGGTGAGGAGGACTTAGTTTTAACAAAGGAGAAACCTGACCACACCGCAGACAGCTGACCAAGGTCAACACCATCGTGCTGTGTCATGGTCGCAGTCCATGCCCTTGACAGGACGCGATGAGAACAGGACCTCATCTCTGCGGTTTCCTCCAAAAAACCCACAACCCCAGTCACGTCGTGAGAAAGACACCAGACGGATTCTAACTGAAGTGCAGCTTCAACGTACACGACCAGTGCTCCTCAAAACCGCCACTGTTATAAAAAACAAGGGAAGGGGCACCTCGGTGGCTCAGTCAGTTGAGCGTCCAACTCTTGGTCTTGGCTCAGGTCATGGTCTTGCAGTTCGTGAGCTCGAGCCCTGTATCGGGCTCTAGGCTGATGATGCAGAGCCCGCTTGGGATTCTCTCTCCCTCTCTCTCTGCCCCTCCCTTGCTTGCTCTCTCTCTCAAAATAAATTTAAAAACTTTAAAAAATTTAAGAAAAAGGGAAGTCTGTGAGACTGTCACAGCCTAGAGGAGCCTAAGGAGACACAATGACTCCATTTACTGCAGCGTCTGGGAAGGGCTCCCGGGATGGAAAGAGGACGTTAGGGAAGAAACAAAAGAAATGTGAAGAGACTACAGCCTTCATTTACTAACAACATATCAATCCTGGCTCATTAATCATAACGCAGGCAGCGTACAAATCTGTGAAACGTGGGACAGTGACACACGAGACAGTGCAGGCTGAGGATCGATTACGGGACCCCCACCATCTGCTCAACCTTCCTGTAAACCTGAAACTGTCCTAAACGAGAAAGTGCTCATAAAAACCACACAGAATAAATTCATTGGATCAGGACACTGTGGCTTGGGGAGACCGCAGAGTCCAGGGGGCCTGCCTCTTCCCAAGGCCACTGGCCTGGCTGCGACACTCATGACCCTGGGCTACACGGCCTGTCTTCTGTGCTGGTGACTAGCTGGGGCCTGTATGCCCCTCCCCGTCCCTCAGACTTGCCTCTATGGGAATAATCCTCCCTTTTTTTGGAAAAGGAAGGTAAGCCCCAGGCTCAATGTCTTTGATGGGGAGGCCATATTCAGCTAACACTTTTTTAATGTGATTTTAATTGTATTACAGACAAATGTTAAGTAACTAAGGAGCATGAGATTAATACAAACAGTGAGGCAGACAGAAGAATGGAGGAACGTGTGAGCCAACCTAGCTCCCCCAAGAGTTAACTGCCCCGTGACCTCTGTCATCACACAGCCTTGTGGGGGCTCATTTCCAGAGATGGGACACACTGCCCCCTGGCTCTGGACAGAACCTGCCGCCTTGTTATCTGCCAAGCTTCCGGCAGGACCAGGGAGCGTCTCCTGGACACGAGTGTATGGCTTCCTTCCCTTGGGGCAGCCTTCCAGCCTTGATGGCAACTGTTGAGTCTAGCGGCTCCCCTTTCACGGGCGAAAACTGCAGTTGCTCCCTTCGCTTCTGTGCGACACGGCCTGCGCCGCTCACATCCCGTTAGCAGCCTCCGAACACGCGTCCTCGGTTCCTCTGTCCATGCTGATGGCCGGGCCCATCATTCCCTGGCTGTCCCAGAAAGCCCGGGCTTTATCTGATGATCTCGGGAGCCCGGCTGACCACGCGCATGCGCTCACCTGCAGCCCGGCGGCTACTTTCATGTGGGTCTGTGCCACGGGTCCCAGGGACCAAGGACAAGGCCCTCCACATCTGCTGCTGCTCCGTCCATCAAGCCTGCTGGCTGGCCTTTCTGGACCCTGACTCTCCCTGCTACTGTCTTCCCACACTGTCTCTCCTCAGTGCAGGTGGGTGGGGCTGAGGAAGGGGCCTTGGGGCACCAGCCTGCCCTTAAGAATGTGGAGAACCAAGGTGCCTGGTGCCTGCATGGCTCAGTCAATTGAGCGTCCAGCTTCAGCTCAGGTCATAATCTTGTGGTTCATGAGTTCGAGCCGTGTGTCGAGCTCTGTGCTGACAGCTCAGAGCCTGGAGCTGCTTTGGATTTTGTGTCTCCCTCTCTCTCTGACCCTCCCCTGCTCATGCTGTTTCTCTCTCAGAAATAAATAAAACATTAAAAAATAAAAAAAGAATGTGGAGAATGAGGGGCGCCTCGGTGGCTCAGTCGGTTGAGCGTCCGACTTCAGCTCAGGTCGTGATCTTGTGGTTCATGAGTTTGAGCCCCACGTTGAGCTCTGTGCTGATGGCTCGCAGCCTGGAGCCTGCTTTGGATTCTGTGTCTCCCTCTCTCTGCTCCTCCCCCACTCATGCTCAGTCTCTCTCAAAAATAAGTAAACATAAAAAAAAAAAAAGAATGGGGAGAACGAAGGATGGACAAACAAAATCAACCAATCACTCCTGGCATGCCTGAAATGGAAGGCACATGCCCTCCCCTTCTGAAGCTTTTTCCTAACGTGCTTCCAGATACAGCGCTCAACGAGAAGGTATGCTCTAACAAGAGCCAGGTGGCATTTAAAGACAAAATCTTTTCAGACTGTTTCACATTTTATAAGTCACATTAGTGAGTGTTGGCAATGTTTCTCGTTCTAACATAGCTTTGAGATTCTGTGACTTCTTCATACCAGGAGGGAATAAGGGACAAGGAGGCTCTGGAGTGAGGTGGGGGTACAGTGACATGACAAGCCACGAGTGCGGCTGACTGAGCTCTTGTTGTTTAGATGTTAGTAGTTTAAATGATTCCAACACCGGAGCTCAGCCATCTGGTTCCTTCTCTTTCAGGAACTATACGTGCGCCTGCTTTTTTGTTCCAGCAAAAAATATTTGCCCTGATCCCATGGGAAAAAAGCAAACAAAGTAAGTGGGCAGTTTCACATAACTTACTAATTTGTAGTATTCTTTTTTTTTAATTAAAAAAATTTTTAATGTTTAATTTATTTTTGAGAGAGAGAGACAGTGTGAGCAGGGGAGAGTCAGAGAGAGAGGGAGACATAGAATCCGAAGACAGGCTCCAGGTTCTGAGCTGTCAGCACAGAGCCCAACATGGGGCTTGAACCCATGAAGTGTGAGATCATGACCTAAGCCCAAGTCAGACGCTTAACCGACTGAGCCACCCAGGCGCCCCCACTTTGTATGTTTCGATGGCTCGTTCTGCCTGGGGTAATAATTCCCCACTGGCCCAGGAGCTGCGTCCAGACCTCGCCGCCAGAGACACAGGCTGGATATCACCAGATCTCACAGAGCCCATGGCCCCTTTCCTTCCTGTGAGTGGGGATCTACACCAACTCGCTGACACCTGTCTGGTTACCCGCCTTCTCAGCACAGCACCACCCCAGGGTGAAGAGAAGGCAGACAGGACAGTCACAAAAACCGAATCGTTTAGGAGACTGTTTGCTGCGTAGCCTCACAAGCATCCTGAGTATCTCACAGACAGTACCGATTTCAATCACAAAGAAAAGACCACGTTACCAAAACGTCCTCAATGGCACCATTATTTTCTCACTTCACTGTTTCTGAAACCATAATGCATCTTGCAACTGATGTGACATTTGAAAGGGTTGCGTTTCTTTCCTGAGAGCCTCTTTTAACCCGGCGGTCAGCTTTGTAAGAGTTGGAATCCTAAATCTGAACAAGTGGTATCTTGAAGAAAGACAAATATATCCCACATGTTCCAGTCTGACAGGCAAGGAATCGTGTTATATAGCAGAACGATTTCCAACAAAAAAGGTTCAAAGATAAAGATTTTCCATGTTCATGGGTAAGTTGTAATTACCCATGTTTGAGTATGTGCCCAGCTAGGAGATGAGGTGCTGTCCACATTTGGGGGTGGGTAAGGAGGGTATGGGAACTCAGTCATTAGTTCATAAAACAGACATTTAAGAGCATCTCTCACGTGATAAACCAGGGCCCACGGGTCAAATCCAGCCCACACTCTACTTTAATATGGTCCAAGAGCTAAGAATGGGTTTTACAGTTTTAAATGGTTGAAAGAAAATGTAAGAAGAATATTCTTTGACATGTGAAAATGGTATGATATGAAAGTTTCAGTGTCCATAAATAAAGTTTTATTGGAACACGGCCATGTTGACAGAGACTTCAAATACCTCCATTCTGACCTTAGTCTGTTCTTTCTGAACAATTCAGTTCTCCTTTCCAGCTTATCTCTTAACTCAGGCAAAAGAGCCAGCTGACAAAGCATCTTCCGATAGGAACCGGCAACAGGGGCTGTCCTGAGCCAGCAGGACCCCTCGTGACTGACCTCGGGACGACCCACCTGACGCTCACTGCCCACCTGCACGCACCCACCGACCTCTGCCCCGCATTTTCCTTACCTAAACCTGCAAGTATCTCAGTAGTTTGGAGACCGTCTCTGAGACGCCAGCGCGCGGTCTTCCTGGTACCGCCTCGCCAGAATACGCTCCTGACTTGTGTCCCCACCGCTCGTCTCTCTGCCTTTGGATTCTGTCAGCAGGGAGTGGCCGAGCCTGGTGTGTTTGGGACCCCCAGAGCCAGGTGCTCGTGCACCCTGTGCCCCAGCTATGACGCCATTCACTTCTGTACTGTCTCTGGCTCGTTTAGCGCATCGTTATGTGGCCAAGCCTAGTGGTGACAAGTCACGGCAGGGCCCATGAAGCCCAAAGTATTCACCACGCGGAGCCCTTGGACGGGGGGGAGGTGGACCCAGACATCACTCAGAGCTGAAAGAACAAAGGTCTGGGACAGCATGCTGGGGAGCCTGGAGCCTTGGGGGGCGGGAGGAGGAAGACACCCATGGAGGCGGCTGAGCAGACAAAGCAAGTGTCTAGAGGAAAGCACCCCCCACAGTGCCCACACCCTCTGACACAACACCCCTGGGATTTGGGGGCCCATAGCATCCACACCCTCCAACACAGCCTTGGGGTTCAGAGGCCCACAGCGTCCACACCCTCTAAGACACCCCTGGGGTTTGGGGGCTGCGAGCACAGCTGGTTCTGGATCTCACCAAAGCCTCGAAGGTGGTCCGCAGCTCCTCACACAGCCTCTCTAGCTCCTTGCTATATTCCGGAAGCGTCCTTCCCGCATTTTCCGCGGAAGCCGGGCTGCTGCTCTGTAACTCTGTCTTATCCTCACTCCTGGACAAGATGGAAGAGACGGGGAACACAGGACACCCTGAAAGGCACCTCACTCAAATGCAAACCCAGGAAGTGCTCTCTCCATGTGACCAGGTCAGGCATCTGGACAGGTGTTATTTCGCGTCACTGCAACATGTGCTTACTTATCACTGGTGTCTGCCATGAGCACGGTGCCAGTTGTGCAGTGGAATTAGTTCGCTGAATGTACCCTGTGGTATCCTTTCCTGGCGGGGAGCGGGGGGGTTGTGCTCGGTGTACAAGGACGAAAAAGATGTGACCATTTCCCCAGAGTTCACCGTCTGGGACTGTTTGGCAAACGGAAGCCTGTGGTCTATGGGGCGTGAAATTAACTAGTGGGGTCACCACACTTCCAGGAAAAACTGAATGTAAGGATAAAATAGATAAAATCACACAGTGCCTTATGCAGAAAGGTGGAGAACTGGCTCTTGCTGACTGGGCCTGGGCAGGAAGAGGCGGGAAAGGCAGCGGAGGGCCAGGGCGTGTGACGTGTGCTGGGGACTGGGGAGAGCCGGGGCCAGGCCAGGCCCGGGACTCGCAACTCTGCTCTGTGGACAATGACAGAGGGGATGGCAGAGTTTCTCCTAACTCTGAGAAATTAAAAATACACATGTAGGAAAGAATAACAAAGCAAATCTCCCAATCAGAATTGGTAACTGCTAATGGTTTTTTTCACGACTCCTGTCTTTTTTTTTTTTTTTTTTTAATATTTTTTTAATTTATTTCTAGGAGAGAGAGAGAGAGACAGCGTGAACAGGGGAGGGTCAGAGAGAGAGGGAGTCACAGACTGAAACAGGCTCCAGGCTCTGAGCTGGCAGTCAGCACAGAGCCCGACGTGGGGCTCGAACCCACGAACCGCGAGATCATGACCTAAGCGAAAGTCAGACGCTTAACCGACTAAGCCACCCAGGCGCCCCACGACTCCTGTCTTTTTTAAAGGAATTGGTAAGGGGGCGCCTGGGGGGCTCAGTCAGTGAAGTGTCCAACTCTTGATTACGGCTCAGGTCACGATCTCATGGTTTGTGGGTTTGAGCCCCGTGTTGGGCTCCATGCTGACAGCGTGGAGCCTGCTTGGGATTCTCTCTCTCCCTCTCTCTCTCTGCCCTCCCCCCCACTCTTTCTCAAAATAATAAACTTATAAAAAAAAAGAAAAAAGAAAAAAACTGCTACGGAAAAGTACACTCCTATGTCTCCTCTCCTCCCCATCCTCTACCTGACCTCTGATACCTGGTCACAAAAGTGGGGAGTGAGGTTCTCCACCCCAGCAGGGCGCCCTACAATTTAACTCCATTTAGACACTATCTACCTGGAGACAGTCTCTGACCCCCACAGGTCAACACTTGGCCCCACAAGACTGTCCCCACTCAACTTCGGACACTAACTGCAAGTCCACGTTGTTACCTGTGCTTCTGACCAACAGGCTGTAAGTAAGAGGTTCCCACAACCCGCCCCCTTGGATCTGAAGGATTTGCTGGAGCGGCTCACAGAACGGCCATGTGAACACTATGTAGCTGAATATAGCCATATACAGTGTATACTTGCATACATCATTTTACCTCCTTGCTCTTTTTCTTAATATAAGTTAACTTACGTATGTTGAGAAAGACTATCTTTCCCACCCTAAAAGATTCCCGGGGGGGGACACCTGGGCGGCTCAGTCGGTTGAGTGTCCGACTTTGGCTCAGGCCATGATCTCATGGTTTGTGGGTTCCAGCCCCGTGTCGGGCTCTGTGCCGACAGCTCAGAGCCTGGAGCCTGCTTTGGATTCTGGGTCTCCCCCTCTCTCTCTGTCCCTCCACCTCTCACTGCCCCTCCCCCACTTGTACTCTGTGTCTTAAAAATAAACATTAAATTAAAAATTAGGAGGAAAAAAAGACTCGCAGCGTGAAGCACTTAGAGCATGAGGAACTCTACGTGCACTTACCTTAAACTGACTTTCAGGTTGGCGATATTATTCGCAGTAGTGAAGCCTGTGTCATTGAGGTTTTCCCATTTCAGGATCAGATTATGCCAATCAGCTGCATTGTCCTTAATTTTTCTTGCACTGACAGATAAGACCGGTTTTCTGGGCGTTGCACTTCCAAGAGTATTTGCTGATTGGGAGTAAAAGAAACAGAATGATCATGAAATTTGTGAAACGAAATAAAAGGAACTTCATTTATTTTTTTTTTTAAGTTTTTAATGTTTTATTTATTTCTGAGAGAGAGAGCATGAGCAGGGGAGGGTCAGAGAGAGAGGGAGACACAGAAACTGAAGCAGGCTCCAGGCTCTAAGCTGTCAGCACAGAGCCCAGTGCAGGGCTTCAACTCGTGACCTGTGATATCATGACCTGAGCCGAAGTCAGACGCTAAACTGACTGAGCCACCCAGGCGCCCAAAAGGAACCTCATTTAAAACGGGGTCGGGAGGCCCTGAGAGGCGAGCTCTCAAGCACATGACTTGCTGCAGCCCAGTCACCAGGAAGAAGGAAGATCAGAATGATGAGGGAGGGTATTTTTCACATAGGAATCTCACTACCTGATTTCTAGAGAAAGTTCCAGCAATGCACCAACTACCACTTGCAGCCGATGAGAAACCACTACAACCTCAAACACTTGTTTTTCTCTGAGGAACTTGTGTTCCACACTCCCACTTCCCCCTAAAACCTAATTAAAGCTGACCTTTCTGGGGGCGCCTGGGTGGCTCAGTCGGTGAAGCGTCCGACTTCAGCTCAGGTCACGATCTCATGGCTTGTGTGTTCAAGCCCTGCATTGGGCTCTATGCTGACAGCTCAGAACCTGGAGCCTGCTTCAGATTCTGTGTGTGTGTGTCTCTCTCTCTCCAGCCCTCCCCTACTTGTGCTCTGTCGGTCTGTCTCTCTCTCTTAAAAATAAATAAACATCAAAAAAAAAAAAAAAAAAAGCTGACCTTCCCTCTGACTCTTCCCGCTTGCCTATGATTTGCCATGGCTTGCTTGTCCCGAATTGCCATTCCTTTCTTTTTTCTCAATAAACTTTTTTTTTTTTTTACGAAAAGTGATTGTTTGCTCTGTTTAAAGTTAACATTATTCACATGTACCCCAATGTTTATAGCAGTGCTTTCAATAAAAGAAAGAGCCTAAATGTCCATCAACTGATGAATGGATAAAGAAGATGTGGTTTATGTACACAATGGAGTACCACTTGGTTATGAGAACGAATGAAATCCTGCCATTTGCAGGAATGTGGATGGAACTGGAGGGTGTTATGCTGAGTGAAATAAGGACAGATATCGTGTGTTTTCACTCATATGTGGAACTTGAGAAACTTAACAGAAGACCAGGGGGGAAGAGAAGGGGAAAAACTAGTTATAAACAGAGAGGGAGGGGGGCAAACCATAAGAGGCTTTTTTTTTCTAATATTTTTAAAAATTTATTTCTAGGGGAGAGAGAGAGAGACAGTGTGAGCAGGGGGCGGTCAGAGAGAGAGGGAGTCACAGACTGAAACAGGCTCCAGGCTCTGAGCTGGCAGTCAGCACAGAGCCCGACGCGGGGCTCGAACCCACGAACCGCGAGATCATGACCTAAGCGAAAGTCGGACGCTTAACCGACTAAGCCCCCCAGGCGCCCCCACAAGAGACTTTTAAACAGAGAACTCAGGGTTGATGGGGGCTGGAGGAGGGGAAATGGGGGACGGGCACGGAGGAGGGCACTTGCTGGGAGGAGCACTGGGTGTTGTATGGAAGTGATGAATCAGGGAATCTACTCCTGAAGCCAAGAGCACGCTGTACACACTATATGTCAGCCACCTTGACAATAAATTATATCTAAAAACAAAGTTCACATTACACGGTGGTCAGAGTGGGGGCCGAAGGAGATGACCCCAGGGGACGACGGGCCTCAGGCCTGCGGGAGCCTTTGTAGGGAGCTCTCGTTCTAACCCCTTCGGAGAGTCTCTCAGACTTGAGTCCCTCCCTTTTCTGGAACACTCCACTTAATTCAGGATCTGTTTAAAGTACTCGCTCATTTTCCAACCCTCAGATTTTGAGTAATGGGATCCTGATTCTCTATACTCTCTCAGGAGGGTCCTCCCTATGGGACCCCAGCTGGTCTTATGTTTAAAAGCTCTTCCCTCTTTGTGTGCTTATTTATTTATTTTCAAACACATCAACATACAGTGTTATGTTAGTTTGAGGTGTACGATATGGTGACTGGACAGTTTCGGTCATCATTCAGTGCTCGTCACACTCGGTACTATTTTTTTTATTTTTATTTTAAAAGCAGGCTTCACACCCAGCGTGAGGCCCAATGTGGGGGTTGAACCCATGACCTTGAGGGCAAGACCTGAGCCGAAATCAAGAGTCAGGCACTTAGCCCTCTGGGCCCCCCCCCAGGCGCCTCCTGAGAAGTTAAAACTTCAACGGCCACAATGGGGAACTCCTGACCTTCCTGAAGTTTTCTCAGGACCTAATTAGAAGGCTCTGAGTCTAACATTAAGCAGCCTACGTGGGATGCCTATTTTAATGGGTACCCGAAGGCTTATAAACGTAGTTATGACTCTAAAGTAGCGTCTTTATAAGATACCGATTCCAAACTCACCAAGTGGAACAAATAATTAAAGGAAGGCAGAGCCTCCTGAGGCCCCTTGGTCTCCGAGAGCACAACTGCCACCTTGCGCAAAGCCCGGGGCCACCTTCCTCTTTCCGTCCCCCACGGCCTGACCTCCTTTGTGCCCTCCGCTTCCTCATTCAGTCCTCTCTCTGAACCTCTCCCCATCTCTTCCTCTCCCAAACCTATTAAAACCTACCCCATGAAAGTCAGACCCTCTGAGGATCCAAATGCTGAACTCCTAATTTCTTATGTTCCCTGGACTGAAGCTGAATTATGAGCTTTAGTCAAAGTCTTTCTTAGCCACTGGATGGCTCAGTTGGTTGGACATTCAAGTCTTGATTTCGGTTCAGGTCACAATCCCAGGGTCGTGGGATTGAGCCCCATGTCCGGCCCTGTGCTGAGCGTGGAGCCTGCTTAAGATTCTCTCTCACTTTTACTCTCTCTCTCTCCTCCTTCCTCTGTCCCTCTCCTCTGCTTGTGTTCTCTCTCTTCCTATCTCTCTCTCTCTCAAAAATTTTTAAAAAATATTTTCTCAAAGTGAGATTTGAGGATCCTCATAGATTTGCTGAGTTATTTAATATGGTTATTCAAACTCATCAACCCGGTTTCTCAGATTTATATCGGCTATTTCACACACTTGGTGAGGGCCAGTGCCAGCAACGACGAACACTGCCAATCGGGATAATCCTGATGAACCAGGATTACCTCCAATCTGACCTCAGCCTTTTACTTCCTGAATCATTAAGTTCTCCTTTCCAGCTTATCTCTTAACTCAGGGGAAACAGCCAGCTGACAAAGTACCTCGTAGTGGAAACTGAAAGCTCCCCCTCGAGCAGTAAGGACCGCCCCAGATCAGGCCAATGACTGACCCCTTGACAATGACCGACCTGACCTCCACTGCCCACCTGCACACACCCACTGAGCTCTGTCCCACACCTTCCTTATATTAACCTGCAAGTGTTTTCAGTACTCTGGACACGGCCTTTGAGAGCCTAGTCCGCTCTCTTCCCGGTGCTGGCCTCGCTGAAACACACTCCTGCCTGCGTCCTCGCCGCTCCTTTCTCTGCCTCTGGATTCTGTCAGCAGGGAGCGGCCGAGCCCCGGACCCAGGTGCTCGTGCACCCCTGCGCCCCAGCTACATGGCGAGGGTCTAGAACCACAGATGGGGTACCATGCCCGGCCTTGCTAGATGTTCGAGCTCCCGCGGTTGCTAAATGACTTTACGAGGTAATTCCTAGCACTTTCCCCAAAACTGCTGAAATGCAGTAAGGTTCAGGCTTGTACCCAAAAGCCCAACGAACCCACACAGGATCATAATAGCTGGCTCCAAATTGGTTTTAAAGAAAATTCTGGTCTTCCTTTAAATACTGAATCCACCCAGGTAGCCTTTAACTCTGTTCACTAACGGGCCGAACTGGGATCTTCCCTTTCTAGTTAAAAGGACCCCGATGGAAGGGAGGCCTGTCCTCTCCAGACCCAGCTAATGTGGACGGCCAGCCCGCCTGGGTGACTCAACGACAAGGAAGACCTGTGTCATCCATAATTTTCAGTTCCGACAAATGGAGGCCCCTAAACAAAACTAAAACCCTTCTGATCTTTACGGATACTGTAAAAGGCCAGGCCACTGGAAAAGAGACTGCTGGACACGTAAGAGCTGCAGGCGCCTTTGACCCTCTAGCCAGCCTTTCCAGACCCCCCCAACCCCCCACCCCCCAGTGCCGGGGCTCCGAGAAACTACAGGGGCTCTTCCCGTCCCCCCCTCTCCACCACTCTCAGGGCTGGGACTGAATCCGTCCCTACGGACAGTGCTCAACCCCACTACTGGCAAGCAGCCCCCGCCTCGGAGTGCTAAATTTAACCCTTCAAATACGGGGGGGTCTCCAGGAAACGTCCAAAGGGTCCTCTCTCTGAACCGGCTCTCTCTTGCCTAGGCCCTCAAAGAGATGCCCACCCTTCTCTCCTTCGCTCCTCGGCCCCTGTACACTCCCCGGGCCCACATTTCTTAGGGAAATACGCTGGGATTTCTCTCTCCCGAGAGGCAGAAATAATTCTAGAATCTGACAGCAGTAACCCAAGTAGCCAACCAGGGGATCCAGTGACCCTTCAACATCTTTTATTTGCTGAGTCTCCGACAGCATCGCAGCCGATTCCCAGGACACTAGTCGTGTGACCCTCCTGGACCAGCCACCACCCTCCATACGGGCACTGGCGGGGTCCACAGCGCGGCCCCCATTAACACTCCAACAGAGCCTCAAAGCCCCTCCCAGAACTAACCGACACCCTAGAGAGACTGAGGGCACTTCGAGGATAAGGGAACGTGTGAGCTCGGGGGGCCTCAGCATCCCCGGGACGAGTGCCAGCGACACCCCGACATTCCCTGTGAGAAAACCCAGTGGCTGAGGAGGGAGGTTCGTCCAAGAGCTCCGAGCCACAAGTACCCGTGCCCCCCCCCCCCATCCTGGTCCCCACACTCCACCCGCCCCCAGCGCTACTGACAGCGCGCGTTCACGGAGCGCAGCGCCTTCGGCAGCGTCTGCGGGTTCGGCCAGCAGCCTCTCTGCCTCACCTGCGCGGGGCAGTCAGGCCCCAGGCTTCCTCACAAACCCCGAGACTGGGGCGCCTGGGGGGCTCAGTCCGTGAAGCGTCTGACTCCTGATTTCAGCTCAGGTCATGATCTCACAGTTCATGGGTTCGAGCCCCATGTCGGGCTCTGCGCTGGCAGCGTGGAGCCTGCTTGGGATTCTCTCTCTCTCTTCTCTCTCTCTCTGCCCCTACTCCTGCTCCCCCCGCAAAATAAACATTTACAGAAACAAAACAAAAATAAACAAAACGAAAACCCGAGAGCGGACTTAGAGGACACAAGGTTTCCTGGAGGTGCTGCCTTGCTATAGACCTAAAGGACGGGCTCTCTCCCCATCTGTTAACTCTTAGCCTTAAAGGAATATACAGTGTTCAAAGAAAAATTGTAGTTCAATATTTAGGGCACCTGATCTTGGAACAAGGCCTACATAGGAATTTAGGTGGGCTTCCTGCATTCTGAGCTTCCCCAAACCTAAAACCAAGCGTCAGTTAATGGGGTTTTCTCGGGTTGGCTGGCTATTATTAGAACTGGATCCTGACCCCATTATTTCGGAAAGTCAGGATGACTTAGCTTTTTAAAATGTTTATTTATTTGAGAGAGAGACAGAGGGAGACACAGAATCTGAAGTAGGCTCAGCCTCTGAGCTGTCAGCACAGAGTCTGATGCGGGGCTCACTGTGAGATCATGACCTGAGCTGAAGTCTGACGCTTAACTGACTGAGCCACCCAGGCACCCCTGCAGCTAAAATTCTGGAAAAAAAAGATCATCCTTCCTGGAGAACCACCCGTGAAGTTCATAGTGATGAGGGAACTCATTTCACTGGTCGGGTGATGGGACCAGTCTGTGCTATCTGCCTGGCTTTACAACACTCCCACTGCGCTCACCGCTCCCCCTCCACAAGGCTAACTGGACTGGCATCATTAAGATGTAATTGGCAAAATTCGTAGAGGCCTTCTACCTTGGCCAAAGGCACTGCCAACAGTAATTTTATTTCATTTTTTAAAATTTATTTATATTTGAGAGAGAATGTGTGTGTGTGTGTGTGTGTGTGTGTGTGTTCAAGAGTGGGGGAGGGGCAGAGAGAGAGAGAGAGAGAGAGAGAGAGAGAGAGAACCTTAAGCAGGCTCTAAGCTCAGCGTAGAGCCCGACTTGGGGCTGGATCCCACAATCCTAGGATCATGACCTGAGCTGAAATCAAGAATTTGATGTTTAGGGACGCCTGAGAGGCTCAGTTGGTTAATCGGCTGACTTCAGCTCAGGGTGTGATCTCAGTTTGTAGGTTCCAGCCCCGCATCAGGCTCTGTTGCTGACAGCTCAGAGCCTGGAGACAGCTTCAGATTCTATGTCTCCCTCTCTCTCTGCCCATCCCCCACTCGCACGCACACATACATACACACACACACACACACACTCTCTCTCTCTCTCTCAAAAATAAACATAAAAAAAAAAAGACAAAAAAAAAGAGTTGGATGTTTAACTGACTGAACCATACAGGCACTTCGGAAAGCCTGACTCTTGATAAGTGATGCTTCTGAGCAAAGATCTTGATCAAAAGGAGGAAATGTGAAAATAAAGGAAACCACATTTAATGATAAGATTCTTTCCTCTTTTTTTTTTTAATTTTTTTTTTTTAATTTTTTATTTATTTCTAGGAGAGAGAGAGAGACAGCGTGAGCAGGGGAGGGTCAGAGAGAGAAGGGGAGATACAGACTCTGAAATTGGCTCCAGGCTCTGAGCTGGCAGGCAGCACAGAGCCTGACGCGGGGCTCGAACCCACGAACCGTGAGATCATGACCTAAGCGAAAGTCGGACGCTTAACCGACTAAGCCACCCAGGTGCCCCAAGATTCTTTCTTCTAAAGTAAACTCTACACCCAATGTGGGGGGGGGGCTTGAACCCATGACCCCTAGATCAAGAGACACATGCTCTACTGGGTGCCACCCAGGTGCCCCAGGAAACCTCATTTAAAATGGAGTCAGGAGGCCCTGGAGAGGGGCTGCTCACAAACGTACCATTTGCTGCAGCCTGCACACCCGCAGGAATAAGGAAGGTAAGAATGATCTCAACAAGGGAGCACATATTTCACATAGGAATTTTGTCTCCTGCTTTTAAGAAAAGGAAGGAAGTGGGGCGCCTGGGTGGCTCAGTCGGTTAAGCCTCCGACTTCAGCTCAGGTCATGATCTCGCGGTTTGTGGGTTCGAGCCCTGCGTCGGGCTCTGTGCTTAGTGCCAGCTCAGAGCCTGGAGCCTGTTTCAGATTCTGTATCTCCCTCTCTCTGACCCTCCCCTGCTCACACTGTCTCTCTCTCTCACTCAGAAATAAATAAAACGTTTTTTTCAAAAAAAAAGAAAAGGAAAAGAACCCTCCATGCCCTAGGGATAATGCACCACCCACCGCCTGTAGCCAACCGCAAAACCACTGAAACCACCGCACAGAAGCTACTACAGCCACTGACTTTTGTTCTCCAATAAACTTTTGTTTACAACAACTCTCAACTTCCTCCTAAAACCTAATGAAAGCTGACCTTCCCTTTGTCTCTTTGAACTTGCCTATAGTTCACCATAGCTGGCCTGTCCCAAACTGCAATTCCTCTGCTATGGCTGAATAAATATTTTTTTTAACTAAATAAAATTGCTCTTTGCTCCTTTTAAAGCTAACACATTTATGGTCTTAGTGGGAGGGCGAATTTATATCTCTATTTTCTTCCACCAGAAACAGCCAGATGGAGGAGATGAATAGGGCGAGGTACGTGCAAGGCAGCGTGGAGTTTCCATGCTCTGAGTGCACTACCCTCCCCGATCTCCTATCTCTGCATGTTCACTAACCTGGACTTCCTCCAAATCCCATCGTTTGGGCTTTTATGGAGGTATCATTACAAAGGAATGGTTGATTAAGTCGGTGAGCGTTGCCAATTGATTCCATCCCCCGCCTCTCTTCCCTAGTGGGTGGGTAGGGGAGGGAGAAGGGACTGAAAGTTTCAACCTTTTAATCACAGGACAGGCTTACCGGGGTGAGACTGGGTCAAGCAGCCTCCAACCAAGGGTTACCCAAGGGCTTTCTGTAAGTCACATGATTAACATAACAAAAGACACTTTGATCACTCTCACACCTGGGCAATACTATGGGTTTTAGCTCCAGGCCAAGAACAGGACAAAGACCAAATATTTTATTATAAACCATAATATCACAGCCTGTTATGCAAGTCCTGTTCACCACTTCTCTGGCTCCTCCCTGCTTGCTCTATCTGCCTCAGCATTAGCTACAACTCAGTACAAGTTCTGACTTTGACCTACAATGTTTTTCCTGTCCGTGTGTTTCCACTCACTTGGCTACCTCCTAGTATCCCTTAAGGCTCTGCTTACTTTTCTTTCTTTTTCTTCTTCTTCTTTTTTTTTTTTTTTCTTTTTGAGAGAGAGAGGAAGAGAGAGAATCTTAAGCAGGCTCCATGCCCAGTGTGGAGTCCGATGCGGGGCTCTAAGTCATGAACTGTGAGATCATGACCTGAGCTGAAATCAAGAGTTGGACACTTAACTGACGGAGCAACCCCCTCCCCCCCCAGTGTCCCAATGCTCTGCTTATTTAAATATCATATTGATTTTTCTTTCATTCTTTACTTATACACCTAACCAACATTAGCGAGTACCTACAACACGCCAAGCACGGGGGGATGAACTGACTGAATGAAACCTATCAGGACTATTTTCATGGAACTTACTGTCCAAACAGAAGTGGATAACAGACCACTAGATAACCGTGATCAATTCAGATCGTGGTGAGTGCCATATGGAAAAGAAAATGGGGAGAGGAGTAGTGCTTGGGGGGCTCAGTCAGTTAAGCGACCACCTCTTCCACCTCTTTATCTCAGTTCAGGTCATGATCTCAGTTTGTGAGTTCCAGCCCCACATCCGGCTCTGTATTGATGGCACGGAGCCTGCTTGGGATTCTGTCTCTCCTTCTCTCTGAAGGACGTCTCTTCTCCAATAGGGGCTCTTTGAGGGCAAGGACATCTGACTCATTCTCTGTTCCACACCTAGCATATATTTAGGAATCAAAAACATAGTTCTAACTTCAAGAAACTCAGGCTAGTGGGGAAAGAGACCAGAAATCAGAGTCAGAGCACAGAGCAGAGAGAGATAAAGCAGAGTGGCTACCTCGCTTATCCCTCCAGGGCCTCAGCTCCCCATCTGTTCACATTACTCATTACTACACGGGATCGCTGGAAGGCTCAAAAGAGCTGACCCACATAAAGCACTTCGGACACTACTAGGCACACAGTGAGCACTCGCTGAATGACAGCCCTTATTACAAGCAAAAAAGCTCTGTGGCGGGTAATCCTGAGGGGAATTCAGGGGAAGATTTTGGGAGCAGCTGGGCATGCAAGGCTTGGCACCCGCTAATGTGCTCCGCTAATGCCAGTTTATAACGACAATTGCAATTTGGTATCTGGATGTGCTGACACTCCTTTGCATACATCAAGTAGCTCCATGCGAGAAAAAAACTGAGGCTCAGCAAAACCGACGGGCTCCCGGGCCGACCGCCAAGCCTGCGCGGGGCCACCGGGCTGGGCTGGGCCAAGGCAGGGAACCCCATTCAAGCCGGGAAGCTCCCGGCCTCCAGCCCAGCCCGCAGGTCAAGCCGTGACTCTCACACCCTCCCCGCCCCGGGGAGCTGGCCCGTCGCACGCACCTGCCATGCGTCCGCAGATATCCCGGGAAGGAGCCCGAGGCCCCGCCCACGCCCGCCGGAAGCGCGCTGACGTCTCTTCCGCCGCGCTCCGCTGGCCCGCTGCCACTTGTGGCTCCGCCGCTCTGGCTTCCGGCTGTCGCTCGGCGGTGTCGGCCCGGTTGCCCAGGGAACGGGCTCCCGGCAGCCCCCGCGGCCTGGAGTCCGTCCCCGCCTCCTCCGGCCGAGCCGGACCGACGAGTCCGGAGGGGCAGCAGCGGGAGGTGAGTCCGGCGACGCCGCCGTGGGCCCCGCTGCCCCCCGCCGCCCGGCCCGCGCCCCTTCCTCGGCCTCCCCGCGGCCACTCACACCTCCCCCTGGCCGCCCTCCCCTCGATCTCGGCGCCTCAGGGTCGCATTGCCCGTCTCGCCCCCGTTCGCGGCCCCCGCGTCGCCCCCGGCGGTGGCCGTGCCTGAATGCCACAGCACTTGAGGCGCCAGGCTGGTCTGGCAGAAGCCAGCCGTCCGCCGAGGGGAGCAGTGGTCGCCCACGCGTCCCGGGCCCCGCTGGCCGGCCGGCCGCATCCCCGGGCCCTCGCTCCTCCCACTCCGCGCCTTCCCTCCGTCTGCCGCACCCTCGTCCCTTACCCCTCACCCCTCACCCCTCCCGCGGCTGCCAGCGCCGCCGCTGCCGTGATTGATGTTGCGTTCTGTCCCCCGACCCTGTCGGTCCGGGCCCGTCCTCCGCGCACCAGCACTGCTGGCACAGACCTCGGCACACACCTCATAGGTGCTCAGTAGGTGTTCGTTAAATGGGGGAATGAAGGACTCCTCCCTCAGTCCCGTTTGAGGGTCCGGGAGGCAGAGTAGGTCCTGCGACTTAAAGAATGGGGCAGCCTGGAGTCAGACCCGGGTTCAGGTCACCGCACTGCCGCTTCCTAGCTGTGTGCTGGGGACGAGTGATAGCACCGCGCTAGGCTGCGGCTTCATCCTGGGTGACATGCAGATGGTGATCGTTTCTACCTCTGCTTCGGATCCAGCGGGGCCGTGCGTTAGAGCGCGAAGCGCCGAGCCTGCACCCGATACATGTCAGTGAAGCGTAGCCCCTGCCGTCGTGACCCACATGCTCGCCTTGCATTTCTCTCCCCTGCTCCCTCTTCCTCACTTTCCCGCTGAAATTCAGGAATTTTATCCTGTTCTGTTCTATTCCTTCCACTCCATCTGTTGGCAGAATGTGGGGTCCCGGACTGAGTGCACACTTGCCTTATCGGCTGGAGGGGTGAGTTGCACTTGGGTTTGACTCCCTCCCTGTGAGCCCAGCGGGGGCAGGATCTGGGAGTAAAGCCTCTGTATTCTGTGTCGTCACCATTGTCTCCGGGCCTCCTGAGCTGCAAGGCCTTTTGTACTTTCTTACCCCCAGCAGGGTGCACCTTGATTAGCCTTTGACCTTGTGGTGTTTTGGATAACCCAACTTACATCCTCTGTTGGTTCATTCACCAGGTATCATTTGGGGTCCCTTGCACGCCCGCCACATGTCAGGCTCTAGGGATACTGTGGTTCTAGTCTCTACCCTCAGGGAGCTTTCTAGCTGGAGAAGCAGTGGAGAAGCAGGGGCTGCTTTCCCTGAGGCTATGCTGGGGAAGACCAGATAGGGATAGTCTTCCTGCAGGAGTGACTAGTAAGTAGCTTTTGTTTGGTTTAAGTTATTTTGTAGCCACATCATGTTTTCAACAGAAGATTGTCTTTTTCTGCATCTGTTTTCCATTTTCTCTTAGAAAGGTAACTCTGCAGGTTTGAGGAAGGTTATGTAATATTAACTTCTGTGTAGTTTGGACAAAATAGCTACAGAAACTTAGTGGGGAAAGAAAGGAAGGTAGCAGGCCTTAGGAGGAGCAGTTGATTGGACTTGGAGGAATGATGGATGGATCAGGTAACAGTTATAAGGAAACCTTGGTGTCAAGCATGGAGAGATTTCTAGATAGAGTGACGCACAAGGAGCTTAGTAGAATCGGGGGAAGAGTTACCACCCTGCTGAGGTAGACGTGAGCTGTTGTTCAAAGCATGTGGTCAGTTTAAACTAATGTGTCATTTGGACCCGGACTTAAGAGACCAGTGAGTTTTTGCATGATGGTGGGTGTACCGAGGTAGAGTGGTCTCCTATTTTGGAATATCATGCTTAGGGAATCCCGGCTTCCTGTTTAGAGAGCTTAGTTCACAAATAGGTGTCGGGGGCTCATTGTACGATGCCCCCTAGTGGTCTTTGGAAGCACCGCAAGGTGTATTGACTAGAAGGATGTGGGTGAAGACTAGAAAGTCCATGAAAGAAGCTGGACAACTAAGATGAGATGCCGTGTGATGCTGAGGTGCTCAGTGTTCTCTGAAAGCAGAGAAAGGCCAACTAAGTGTCAGAGGGAGTCTGTGAAGGTTTCCCAGGGGAGAACTAGTTCTTAAAGGGTGCCGGGGGTGCGGGGAAGGGAGGAAGAGGCCTTTGCAAAGATGAACAGGTCGTGGTGTGTTCAGGGACTGTGCTGGCTAGCTCACTGCAGTTGCAGTGTAGACCGCGTGGAAGGGAGAGTGGGCTGACAGCAAGCTAGATATACACCTCTTTTAAAAATGCCCCCTTCCACGCTTTCATGAGGCTAGCCTGTGCGCCAGCGGCCAGCCGACGGGCAGGGCAGCGGGGCAGTGACAGTTTCTTCTGGAAGATAAATGGGCACTTCATTCCCGTTGCGCTCAGCCCTGAGACTTTGGCACTTGAAAGAATGAGACGTGCCGTAGCCAGGCTTCAAAAATAGAGTGTGCAGCAGGGACACTGATTGTCTTCCTGGAGATTTTGGAGACTGTCCTTAAAGCGTCTGAGTTGTGGGGCGCTCTGGCGGCTCAGGGGTCCTGCACTCAGCGAAAGGTGCACACTGTATACTGTAGTCCTTTGCTCCGGTTTTGAAGAACTGCCCACCAGGGCAGCAGCAGGGGGCTTGCTGTGAGTCAGTGCGAAGAGCCGCTGACACCCTTCCAGTGTCGGGGCGATGGTGGGTGCCCCTGGGGGAGGGAAGCATCCTCACCAGAAGAATGTTGTAGAGTGGTTTTTGTACTTTTAATGGAAATATTTGTGACTAAGGAAGCATTATTGATTTTAAAGATTGGGTTAAGGGGCACCTGGGGGCTCAGTCAGTTAAGCGTCCGACTTCAGCTCAGGTCATGATCTCACCATTCTTGAGTTCGAGCCCCGCATCAGGCTCTGTGCTGACAGCTCGGCGCCTGAAGCCTGCTTCACATTCTGTGTCTCCGTCTTTCTCTCTGTTCCTCCTCCGCTCCTGCTCTGTCTCTCAAAAAATAAACATTAAAAAATTAAAGAAAAAAAGATTAGATTGAGAATATTATTTTGCAGTAAGACCTGAAGTTAATGTTTTATTTATTCAATCAACAAATCTTTACTGAGTATCTGCTCTGTGCCGATGCTATTGTTAGGTACTGGGGTTTACATTTGTTGCATATATTTTCATGAGAGATCATCGAACTGCTTATCAAATAAAGGGACTGAAGGGTGTGCACAAGGCGACAGGACAGGGGAGAGGGGCGGAGGGGCTGCAAGCCATCTGCCTAGGGCGGGCCTTTGTGAAGGCTGGTTTGTGAGGGGAGATGAGGGATCACTGGAGTAGAGGAATAGAGGCCTGTGGAGGGACAGAAGGGGCCAGTGTGGCGAGGGCTTGGCGGTGGGGTGGGAGGGGCCAGGTGGGAAGGGGTGTGGGGGTGATGGGAGAGCCAGGAAGGTTTGGCAGCACATGTAGGGCTCCGAGAGGCATTTGGTTATTCTCCGAGCCCTGGGGGACCCCTGAACGATTTTGAATGGCATGTATAGTATGAGATGCATCCACTTCTCTTTCAGAGAACTCTTTATAAAGGAGGGCGCACCTAAGTGTCTTCCGACTCGACCCCTCTCCCACTCATGCACAGGCTCTTTCTCTCAAAATAAATAAACATTAAAAATAAAGGATTTTATTTTTTCAGAGCAGTTTCAGGGTCACAGCAAAGTTGGAGAAGATACAGAGAAATCTCCTAGACCCCTGTCCCTACACTCACAGCCTCACCTGTCATCAGCAGCCCCCACCAGAGTGGGGCGCTTGTTAATACTAACCAAACTACGAGGACACGTCATAATCAGCCAGAGCCCTGGTTTACTGTCAGGCGCACTTGCGGTGGGGGGCACTCTGTGGGGTTGGACACATGTACAATGACACATATATGTCATTATGGCATCAGCATTTTCACTGCCCTAAAAATGTTCTGTGCTTTTGTTTATGCATCCATCCCCCTACCCCCTCCCCACCACTCCCCTGCCCCTGACAACCGTTGATCTTACTGTCTCCATAGTTTTGCCTTTTCCAGAATGTTATATAGTTGGAATAATAGAGGATGTAACCTTTTCAGGTTGTCTTCTTTCACTAATAACACATTTAAGGCTCCTTTCTATCTTCATGATTTAGTAGCCCATGTCTTTTTAGTGCTGAATAACATTCTGTCTTCTGAATGTACCACAGTTTATTTATACATTCGCCTACTAAAGGACATCTTAGTTGCTTACAGCTTTTGACAATTATGATTAAAGCTACTGTAGATATCTGGGTAAAAGTTTGTGTGTGAACATAAGTTTTCAGTTCCTTTAGGTCAATAGCAAGGAATGTAATTGCTGGATCGTATCATAAGATTATGTTTAGTTTTTTTTTTTTTAAAGTAGATTCTAAAAAAAAAAAAAATAAGTAGTTTCTATGCCTAACGTAGGGCTCAAACTCACAACCCCAAGATCAAGAGTCGCATGCTGTATGGATTGAGCCAGCTACGTGCCCCAGTTTATGTTTAGTTTTGTAAAAAAAAAAAAAAAACAAAACCCACCAAATTGTCTTCCAAAGTGACCATACCGTTTCTCATTCCCACCAGCAGTGAATGAGAGTCCCCGTTGGACAACATCTATCCCAGCATCTGGTGGTGTTAGTGTTAGCTATTCTAATAGGCATGTATCTCATTTTTTTAATTAAAAAAATTTTTTTTAAATTTTAGAGCGTGCGTGGGTTGTGGAGAGGGGGCAGAGGGAGAGACAGCAGGTTCCAAGCTGAGTGTGGAGCTTTTAGGACCCTGGGATCATGACCCTGGGCTGAAATCAAGAGTGGAAGCTCAAAAGACTGAGCCACCCAGGCGCCCATGTGTATCTCACTTTAATTTGCGTTTCCCTGATGACATATGATGTGGAACATCTTTTCATATGCTTATTTGCCATCTGTAGATCTTCTTTGGTGAGGTGTCTATTAGGTCTTTGGCCTGCTTTTTACTTGGGTTGTTTTCTTATTGTTGAATTTTAAGGGTTCATTGTATGGTTTGGATAACAGCCTTTTATCCAGTGTGTCTTTTGCAAATATTTTCTCCCAGTCTGTTGTTTGTCTTCTTATTCCCTTGACATTTTCTTTTGAAGAATTTTTTAGTTTTAATGAAGTCTAGCTTATCAATTATTTATTTCATGAATCATACCTTTGGTGTTGTATCTAAAAATGTTGTCACCATGGGGTGCCTGGGTAGCTCAGTCTGTTAAGCGTCCAAGTCTTGATGTCACCGCAGGTCTTGATCTCAGGGTCATGAGCTCAAGCCCTGCATTGGGCTCCACACTGGGCATGGAGCCTACTTACAGTGAAATAAGGTAAAATAAAACATCATCACCATACTCAAAGTCATCCGGGTTTTCTCCTGTGTTTTGTAAGAGTTTTATAGTTTTATGCTTTACGTTTTTAAAACAATTTTTTTAACGTTTATTTTTGAGAGAGACAGAGACAGAGCACAAGCAGGGAAGGGACAGAGAGAGAGGGATACACAATCCGAAGTAGGCTCCAGGATCTGAGCCAGCTGTCA